GGACCCTCCAGACCACGCCCCCTCCTCCTGATGCAGAGCGTTTATCTGCGCATGTCTGCTCAGGTGTCAGAGTTGACGCCTCGCCACGCACCAAGCTGTTCACACCTGAGACTTTCCCACGGCCCCCCCCCAGACACCTCCTTTATCCTCCTCGCGGGCGGCACACGCCATGTGTCGTCTCACCTGAACAAAAGCTCGTGCCGCCTCTCGTCGGGCCATTTGGGCACGTGTTGGAGGACAAAAGGAGGCGATGGAGGTGTGAAGCCTTTCAGGTCCTTCCGCCGGCAGTAAAACCTCCTCAGGAGGAGGAGCAGAGCTCGGGCTGATGGAGCACTGGGCCTCCTCTTCCTCACTTCAGAGACACAGACACACGAGGAAACCTGCTGACCTTTAACCTCTGACTTTCGCTCAATGTAAACGAAGCTTTACCTGCGATGCTGTGACGCAGTCCGCGGCGTTTCACCTGATCAATAAAGCTTTGAACAAAACAAAAGCAGCAACTGAGGCTCACCTGCATCAACCTGTCGCTCCCGTGCGCAGGGGCACGCGCACATACTCATTTGGAGGAGGCGAAGCGCGTGGCGCGCGTGTGTCTGAGGAGGGGGAGGTCTGATCGATAAGCAGATGGCGCGCGATTGAATATGTGCATATTGTCCGCTGAAGCTTCCTGCTGGTGTGTGCACGCGCCCTCACTCCCCGGGGTGCCGACGCTGCACGTGCTCATCAGGTAAAAAAAGACGCTCTAAAGCTCGAAAGGCATGCGCCACATTAGAACTCGCTCATATAATAAACGGAGGCCATTTTTCATAATTTCATTCATAAATCACTCTCTCACACACACACACACACACACTCACACACACACACACACTCACACACACACACACACGCACACAACAGAATCAGCATGCTTTATTAATCCCTGAGGAAATTATGTGGGTTGCAGTTGCATTAACAAAAACAGACTAAACTATTTAACAATACAATATGTCAGGATATAAGGAATAGCACAATATGTAAAAATCAACACATAATAAGTATCCAGGGTTGGCAGATGTGATTATAAGGAAATATCTTGAAAATTGACAGCAACATTACCGAATAAGAAAGAGAAAGGATGCAACTGTTGCAGTGTTTAGTGTGTTAGGTGGAGGAGTTGTACAGGGAGCCACGGGCAGGAATGATGTCCTGTGTCGTTCAGTGGTGCTTTTTGGTGACCTCAGTCTCTCACTGAACGTGCTCCTGTGGCTAGCCAGCACGTCATGGAGTGGGTGGGAGGTGTTATCCAACATTGTCTTTATCTTGGACAACATTCGCCTCCGACACCACTTTAAGGGAGTCCGCTCCAGCCCCACAACATTATTGGCCTTGTGGATCAGTTTATTTAGTCTGTTAGCATCAGCAAGCCTCAACCTGCTGTCCCAGCATGCAACAGCATAGAGGACTGGCCAAAACAGACTCGTAGAAAATCCAGAGCATAGTTCGACAGATGTTAAAGGACCTCAGCCGCCTCAGAACATAGAGATGACTCCGGCCCTTCCTGTAAAGTGTGGTAGTGTTTTTAAACCCAGAGGCATTTATAGTCGTCCACAATGTCCACGTTGACCCTGTGGATTGAAACGGGGTGCAAAGTGTTTCCTGGTCTTACTGAAGTCCACGATCAGTTCCTTGGTCTTTGCCACGTTGAGCTGCAGATGATTCTGCTCGCACCACGTGACAAAGGAGTCGACCACAGCCCGGTACTCTGACTCATCTCCCCTCCCGATGCATCCATGCATCCATACACAAACACTGCATGAAGCTGACGTGTTTCCAGCGTCAGGCGGCTGCTGCAGGACTGAGACGGTCTGACTCGAATGTTTAAACATGCATTCGTGCACTAAAGCGCTTCCTCTCTTTCTAGCAGATTCAATAAATTATGTGAGAATGTGGTTTGAGCAGTTTTCACCTGCATGTCGATGCAGCTCTGATTGGATGTTTCTGCACATCCTCCTTGAGATTCACGAGCAGCACTGAGCTCCCTGCTTAAACAGCACGACGTGATGAAGGTTAATATGAGCTGTAGACGATGTGAGGGGCAGAGCTGTGACACGTTGTGTTTTTGCACATGTATGAAACCAAACGGCAGAATTGGTTCTGGGATGTTGTTGGACTCGGATGTGCAGCCGAGTCAAAAGTTTCTGCAAACATGTTTTAGGGTTTGGGAAAAACTGCACTTGATTCTTGAAATGAGACGTCGTGCTGTGGTCTGAGGATAAGATCAGACCTTCACCCTGAAGCCTGCACAGCTGGAAAATGATGCTCTGACTTTCAGCTCTTCCTCCTGTTCTTCCTCAGTGACATCACATGGGCTGGGGTCATGTGACCGGTTTATGTGTGAAACATCCAGTTTACAGCTCGGAGGAGTTTTCACGCCTCCTTCTTGTTTCTCTGAGACTCTGCCGACTCGTCTCGAGCCAAACATCTGTTGTTGTTGGTTTATATTATAGAATTCATCCCTGCGACACACACACACACACACACACACACACACACACACACACACACACACACACACACACACACACACAGACAATAGGGTGTGATGAAGCATGCCTCGTGCCAGGAAGGAGGGGGGCTGAATTCAGGACCAGCAGAGGCACGCGCTGCCCTCATTCAAATACAAATGGTGGAGGTTGGGCGGTGGGGGTGGCAGCCCAACAAAAGCTACAGCTCATCAGCATGAGCGCCTCCTCCTCATACACCTGAGGTGAAGGGGAGGCCCGAGCTCTGTGTTTCGGTCCATTCGCTGAACATTTTCCTGAAATTGAGCAGGAGTGTCTTTGTTTTCACAGCTGACAGCAGAAATCTGGGTTTATGGAAGTGCTCTTCAAACCTGTGAGCTCAAAGCTCCGCAGTAGCTCTGAGATCAGGTTTATTCTTCTAAATTTAACCAGAGTAACTTTCAAAAGTCACCTGAAAGCTCCACAGCTGTTAAACTGGTTTAAAGTTCTCTCTGTAGATTAGACCCCACCACCACCAGCACCACCACCACCAGCACCACCACCACCACCAGCAGCAGCAGCAGCAGCTGTTTAGCTGCAAACAGAACACAGCCAGCTGAAAACTGGCACCTTCACAGCAACGCAGCAACAACAGCTCTGATTGGTTAAAACTCAAGTCTGTGTGCATTTAAACACCCCTGGAAACACCTAGTGAGCTCAGGGCTCAGGCATTACCAGTAATGAATGAATGAATGAATGAATGAATGAATGAATGAATGAATGAATGAATGCAGCAGGCCTTATTTACTCTCATGTGTTGACACTGTACGCAGAGAGTTTATGGCTCTGTTTTTGGTGACAAGTTAGCAACATCAGTGAAGCTCCACGGCCTGAAGGTGGGTCATTATCATACAGCTGAGACCCCCCCCCCCACACACACACACACACTCACACACTCACACTAAGGTGCATGTAATCTAGATTGAAATCTCATTTGTTGAAGTGTGTGTGAGGCGTGCCTCAGCTACGGCAGCCTGGAGGCGCAAAAGCTGAGGAACGAGGAGCTTGTTTCAGACAGCAGCTCCGAGGCTGCACCTGAGGGCGAGTGTTAGATAAAGAAAGATGATTATGAACTGTGGATCATGCAGAGCTGCTGTAGTGCAAGAGTAGAAATATGTCAAAGATCAGCAGAGATCCCTGTAAATGATTATTTTGTTTGGTTTAAGTTCGCCCCATTGCTTATGTTGATGAAAAATAACGACGTCACTCTGTCCCACTGTGACGTGTGACACCGACCTCAAGAACAGCGAGTATAACTGGGCTCCCAAAATGACTCGGTTGGTGTTGGAGAGCCCTGATGGGTAAAAAGCAAACCAGTGATGAGAAAGAAGCAAAACTCCAAACGGGACAAAGCAGCTGTAAGTGTGCGTGTGACGGACAGCTGGACTGGACTCTTCATTCTTTTCTAACATCTCTCACAGCAGAGTCTGAGTCAATAAACTAAACTGAATGTATGAGACTGAGCCACAGCGCGATCACAGAAACGTGGAAAGTGCTTTAGTTTGATTACTATCAGGTGACTTCACTGAACACAAATTCTCAGTGATTGATTTATTTGTGTAACCTGTGCAGTCCCCGCAGATTAAAGACTGCAAATATCTTTAATCTGCAAATATAAAAAACTGTGAAACACATCAGTCCAATTCCGGACAAACAGCTGAATTTGTTGGTTTTATTGGTTTCAGCAGCTCTAAATCAAACAAAAGTTTCGCGCATTTTAAACTCAACCTCTGAATATAAAAATCTCAGGCGACGTGTCAGGATAAGTTATGGTGATTTAATCCTGCCACACTAAGAACTTGACAGGACCACGTTCAGGTTCTTCTGGCTTCGCTGTTTCGCGCTTCAGAGCTTCAAAACCACCCACCATAATTTCAGTCTTCCTCCCCACTCGTGGGACGGCACGCGACAGGAGAGGCGCGTGTGGTGTGCGCGGAGAGGTAGTTTCACTTCCACAGCACATTTCACTGCCTCAGCGTGCTGACCGCAGAAGGTAAATACCTGCGGACACTTTGTGACGTCACAGAGGCAGTAAAAGCAGCGCCTCGGTCGTGAGCGTTTGGCTCCTGGCACTTTGTTGCGTAATTGCACCATCAGCTGGTGAAAGCCAATCAAAGCATCCCCCCGTCCCTCAGCCCCCGTCCCTCGTGACATCGTCACACAGAGTGTTGGAAATCTGTATAATCTGAGTGGCTCAGGCTTCGTGTTCTCGCAGCGCTGGAGAAAAGAAGCGCCTGAAAAATAAAAAGTTAAAAGAACGCGTAAAGCGTGCGTAACGGCGCGCGGCATGGGGAGTTTCACTCACTGCTGCTTTTGTTTTTCTTTCGTTCTAAACTCATTTCACACAAACATCAGCACAGCAGCCCTCCCTCCTTGCAGTCGACGCACCTCCTTCCTGCCCTCCTCCTGAGGTATAAAGGAGGTGGGACGACAGCTGCGGTCCAGAGTTCAGCGCGGAGCGGATTAAACTTTGTTTCAGTTCGGGTTGCACACCGCGGACACGCGCACACTGCCCGCTCTTTCTGGAGGTTTTTCCTTCGTCTCTCCGTTTGATTTTGGATCCTTTGGACTTTACGCACTGGACCTGTGGACGCGCCATGGCACGCTCGCTGCTGCCGTGTCTCCTGCTGCTCGCCTTGGCACAGACGGTGAGTGACAGCGCTCACGGGACCCACGGGGGCGTGGGGCTTTGTTGATGCTTTTGTTAAACTGTTTTCTTACGTGTTTCGGACACGCTGCGCTGCAGAAACCGCGCGCGTCGGGTTTGTGATGCAGACGTGCGCCGTTTTGCAGTGATGAATTTGTGTGCGTCTTTGCACCAGGTGACCCCTCTCCTCTCTTTGCCCCCCTCAGGCTCTTACCGCCGAAGTTTTCGAGCTCAAGATCGACTCCTTCACCAGCTCCAGCGGCATCTGTGGCCAAAAGTCTGAGGACTGCCTGATTTTTTTCCGCGTGTGCCTCCAACACTCGCAGAACGTTATTAAGCCGGAGCCGCCGTGCACGTACGGCGAAGCGCTCACGGATGTCTTCGACGCCGACTCCAACTCCATCTCCGAGAGAGAGCCCATAAGAGTGCCGATTCCCTTCAAGTGGCCGGTAAGTGACGACAGTCACGCGTGTTTCAGGCGTGACAGCAGCGCAGCGAATGCACTAAAGGAGTTATTTCTTTATTGCTCTTGAAATCTTAAAGGTTTTCAGCCACAAACATCCAGAGAAGAAGAAACTTTTCTCAAAAGCCTCAGAAAGACAAAGCAAACTCAAATGTGCCGTTTCCCTCCACGTCTACTAACATCTAACTAACTAAGATGTTTCTTTTCCCGGTTACTTTCAGGGGACGTTCTCTCTGATCATTGAAGCCTGGAAGGCGGACGCTCCAGAACGGTCCATAGGTAAACTCCCGACGCATCGCCGCCGGCTCACCGGCAGGTGGCGACAGCTCACACAGTCAGGCCTCATGCTCACAGTTCATCTTCCCGCACAGAGAATCCACTCGTGATTCGTACCTGTGAACATCAACAAGCACCAGATAAAGACACTTAAAACTATTATTTGTTAATGTTTACCATCGCCACAGACGAACATAATTAAAAACACGAGTGGTGTTTTTGTCTGATGATGATGATGATGATGATGATGAATTTCCAACCAGAGAATCCGAACAACCTGATCAGCCGGCTGGCCACCCGCCACAAGCTGAGGGTTGGAGAGGACTGGACCAAGGGCGAGAACACCAGCAACCAGAGCGAGCTCCACTACTCCTACCACGTCGTGTGCAAGGAGTTCTACCACGGGGAGGCCTGCTCCGCCTACTGCCGGCCACGCAACGACACCTTCGGCCACTACACCTGTGACAAGGAAGGGAAGATTAACTGCCTGGAGGGCTGGAAAGGAGAGTATTGCACAGTGGGTGAGTGTCCTCTGTGATGCTTTCAGCAATTCAACAGAAATTGTCCTTTAAGGTGTAATTTTACTGCTTATGATCATTTGAGGAGAGTCATTGGTGCCCTTCTCACTTAAGATTACACCCAGAGTCACATGCTGAGCAAAGCTGTTTTTAACGGCTCCAGTCTCACGAAAATATACTAAAAACGTTCAATGATGCAACAAAACTGGCTCCAAATCAGGAGCGATCTCTTGTTTTCTTACAGTAGTGCAACTCCTCCTCCTGAGCTCCCTCCATTTTTTATTCTAACGTTTCTCCTGCTGAGGAGGGGGGGGGGGGGTAAAGAATGGGACCCTTGGCGGCCTTGAAATTGTGAAGTCAAGCAGTTGTCAGTGCCACCGCTGGCCCTGGTGGCTGCAGGGGACAAAAAAGAGATGTTAGAGCTTATGTCGTTTCCAGTGTGCGTGCGTGTGTGCGTGCGTGTGTGCCTCTGAGGTCTGCTCCCTTTGTTTTGAGATCAACAATGGGCCCCCAGTCGGCCCCCGGCCCGCCCGCCTTTAAGGGGACACGCGCTGCAGCTTAATGTGTGCTGCCTTGCGTGAAAGGAGACAGCATGTGTTGCTTTTGTTGTGCGGGCCAGCTGCTTCGTTCAGCACTTAACAAGCACTTGTAGGGGAGCTGTGTGTGTGTGTGTGTGTGTGTGTGTGTGTGTGTGTGTGTTTATTCATTCAGTTTTAAGGTGAGCTTTCGGCAGGTCCAGGTTAAAGTGAGTCTCCAGGAAATTAAAGAAAGTTAACGTGATGCAGTCATGTAATCGTGACCGTGTGTGAGTTTAAGGAGGAGTCCCTTAGACGGGTGAGGAGCTGTTTTGTCTCTCTCTCTCACACACACACACACACACACACACACACACACACACACACACACACACACACACACACACAGTCATGATAATATTTCCTCCCTTCCCTCTCTTTCTTGCGTTCTTTGACCTTCCTCCTCCTGCCCTCTCTCTCCCTGCGTCCCTCCTCCTCCCATCAGCCATCTGTGCAGGGTGCAGCGAGCAGCATGGTTTCTGCAAGTCTCCCCGGGAGTGCGTGTGCCAGCAGGGCTGGCAGGGCAAGAGCTGCGACGAGTGCGTCCGACACCCCGGCTGCAAACACGGGACCTGTAAGCTGCCCTGGCAGTGCGACTGCAGGGAGGGCTGGGGCGGCCTGTACTGCGACCAAGGTGGGTTTAAACCTGCGGGTGCGTCGCCCCGGTGGGGTTAACGGGCAGCTGAGTGTTTCCTTTGCAGGTTCAAGCATACCCCCACCCTGCCCCCACAACAAACCGACGCTGCGGCTGATTTGTAACTTCTCCTTTTTCTGTTTATTGAAATAAATCCACACACTTTCAGAGCTGCAAAAAGATTCACCCAGTTTGTTGGCAACGATTTAAACTTTCAGGAAAACAGTGTGAAGCTGATGTATTTCACTATGAGGTGTTTTTCTGCCTGTACGTCAGCTGTTACTGTCCTCCCACAGTGACGCATTTTAGCTGAAACTATGATTTATTTCACAACTCTCATCGAACAGCAAGTAAAAACCAAGAGTGCTCTTTAAAGATGTTTTATCTTTAGTTTAAGGAAGTGTAGAGCTGTTTTTAACCATCGTTTCTGATGCCGGAGGCGTCTGACTAACTAAGATCAGATTAATTTGTCACTTTAAATGACCTGATATGATGTAATTTATTCACAATATAGAAGCAGTTTGGGGCTGATGTGAAATGAGGGCTGCATTCGTGTGGAAGCAAACCCCTTTGCAGACAAGCTTTTGGTTCACCGCATCAGTTATTTTCTGTTTCAGAGACTTTTACCTGAAATGTCAGCAGACATCGTGTCAGCAGCTCTAAATACATTTCTGACAATCTTTAGAAATAAGCTGCTGGTTTAGTTTTATGAGCCAATAACAGTTTTTAAGTGACTGTAACAATGATTACTTTATACGCAGGTTCTTTAAAGCCACGCACCACAGCAGGTTAGCCACACAAATGTTGTGTTTCATGCACTTTGCTGCTGAACCTTCAGTTCAGATGATTGTTTTTGCTGTGACGCAGTGAAGAGTAATCATGAACATGTCATATAAAGAATTTAAACATTCAGTTTTGTCTTTGGTGACACAAACTTTTGGCCACAGCGGTTTTTAAATCCCAGAACTGAGAACTGTGCTGCCATGCAGAGGTATGACCTCTGACCCTGCCCGTCTGCAGAATATCAATAGATTCAAGGTTAAAGGTTGAACACATTAAAGACACATTTCCACATTTGATAACAGATCTTTATGAGGGGATGTTTTTATGTGTCATCTGCATGTATGCAGAAAAAAGCCACATGTACTGTGTTTAAATGAAGACGGTTATGTTGGGCCAGTATAACCAAAACATGAACAATAAATATGTTTTTCTTCCCACAAAGTCCAGACAGGGCAGTGGGAGGGTGGCGGTGGTGGGATGGTAGAAAAGCCATTTCTAATATTCCCCTCAGACGTGACACTGCTGGTGCCTGACCGGACATCCATATGTGACGAGCTGGGAGAAAAACAGTCCCACTGTTGCTTCCATCGATGACGCCGAGCACAGAGGACACCGAGTCCTCTATTTGAACTTTTAACGGCAGGATTTGGCACCCTGGGAATGAGGATTTGCTCCTCAGCAGCATTTGATCATTTATAAAAGTAAACCTTTAGACAAAGGCACCGAGGTCGACAGCATTGTGTTTGAGCTGAAGCGGGGCACCTCAGGGCGCCATCCTGAGTCCTTTTACATTTTCCTTAATGCCTTTCCTTTTATTTTCCTTTTTTGTACATATGTTCACACACCGATCACTCGCATTGATCCAAGTAATCTAATAACAGCTCACATGACAAACTTCCTGTCTTTTTGCCTCTACATGCACCGCTCAGGGTTTACATTATTTGCATTCTGGTTATGGATAATTACATTGCTTTAAAGTGATTGTTCAGTAGACTCAAAAATGTTCAGGTACCTAAAACCTCTCACCTCTAAGATACATCACCAATCAGCTGCTGATTGATTAGGGTTACGTGGATCTGTGTTTGAGAATAAATATTATTGTAAATGTTAAATCACCTGCCTGCTGCTGTCGTGGTTAATGCGACAGTTTCCAACTGTGTCAGCTGGTTTTAGCATTTCAAACAGAAACATGTTGTTTAGTGTTTTACAGCAGCTCCATCTGTCGCTGCAGAGATGAGCTGGACTCGTGAATTATGTTTGCAAGAAAACACATGAATCGCATCGTGAACAGGGAACTCCACAGATGTGTCTGTGAAATTAGAAATATCAATCATAATAACAAAACCAAAACACCTTAATTTAGTGGCACTGAGGGGATTTTGTTGTGGTTTTGAGTTCGACTTTCAAACACCAAAGATAAGATAAAACTTTATTAATCCCTCGGGTGGGTTCCTCTGGGAAATTCGGTTTCCAAAAGCACCGACACCGACAAGGATTATGGTAACAATCAAAACACTAAAACAGCAGACGCCACAGTTGCCTCGTCTCTTGTTGTGGATGTTGTTGTTTCCCGTTTCCTGTAATCTTCTTTCTTCACTGCAGACCTGAATTACTGCACCAACCACAAGCCGTGCCAGAACGGCGCCTCCTGCACCAACACCGGCGAGGGCAGCTATACGTGCGCCTGCCGGCCCGGCTACACCGGCAAAGACTGCGAGGTCGAAGTCAACGAGTGCGACAGCAACCCCTGCAGGAACGGCGGCAGCTGCAACGTAAGTCAGCAACGGGCTCGGTGCAGCCAAACCTCCTTTTCTTTAACTCTTCAGATCGTTTAGGAAGTAACTCCCAACTTTAGCAGCTTCTCACGTGCAGGGTAGAGCGTTTCCTGGCGGAGTAGCATGTTGGAACAAAAATGCCAGACACAGTCGGACTGGATGTCAAGCTGTTAGCCCTGAGAGGTCAGAGGTCACTGATGGTCACTGTTATGGCCCATCTAGGCGCGGCCAGACCACAACAAAAAGGCGGTCCACCCCTACATGCTCCTACATTAAACCAACATAGTGACACAGTGAACGGTCTGCCGGTTGGGTCGGGCCGAGGATGAATCACCTGGCAGTCCCTGGCGGTGTCTTCTTATGCGCTGCCTCCCGGTTGTTAGCCAGTCGGTACGATCCATCCACCCTGGATGCACCAATCACGGAGGAGCACCTGCACACTCAGTCGTAACAGTCACGCTAATCCAAATCTTGTTGTGCAAAGTCTTAGCAATCAGGGAGGAAAAAACAAAGAGTAATCAGCTGGTGTGCATTTCCAAAAAAGCGTTTTTCTCCACAACTGAGGTAAAGGTCGGGGTCGGGGTCAGGTTAGGGGAATGGGGCTGTTGGTGATGATGGTTTAGAACTTAGTGTTAACACTGTTCGCTCATCATCATCTTTTAGGGAGCCTGAAGCATGAAGTAAGTGTCAGTAAATGTTTCATTCATCAGTGCTGTTTATTGAACCTTCTGATAAACTAAAATAGTATCAACAACTCACACTAATGTTCACAAAGCTGATTCTGACAGTGCTTATACCTCAGAGGGGTAACGGTGCGGATCGCTGGTGCAAAGTCCGTGTGATTTTGCTGATGATGTAATAGTTCACCGAACTATAACCTGCACTAACTGCTCGCAGCAGGCCGCACCTTTGCTAACCGATGCTGCAGAATCAGAATCACACGCAGCTTTGCTTGTCGCCTCCTCACCTTGTTCTTCTCCTCTGTCTCTCCTCCAGGACTCGGAGAACGATTACTCCTGCACGTGCCCTCAGGGTTTCTACGGGAAGAGCTGCGAGATCAGCGCCATGAGGTGCGCTGACGGGCCGTGCTTTAATGGAGGCACTTGCATACAGGAAGACACCGGCGGGTACACCTGCCGCTGCCCGTCCAACTTCACAGGCTCCAACTGTGAGAAGAGGATGGATCGATGCAGCAGCAGCAGCCCCTGCACTAACGGTACCAGTCGAGTGTAGCCCAGTTCATGCACTTCACATCATCAGAAACACAGAGAGTGCCGTCTGATCTCTAACCATGCTAAAGTTCACAGTTACGCTTTCTATGTTATCCTAGTACGTTTTAAGTTCTCTTTGAATGATGTTTGGCCACAGACTGTTCACACAGGGCCAGAACGACCCTCAGACCTCCAGGCTGACGACCCCAAACGGGCTCGAATCCACAAGGCTGCAGATTTCATATACTCTCTATCTATTACATGTAAAGTCACATATTTGAAAGCTTTTTACTGCTTTTAGCTCATGAAAATCTAAAGCACTGTATCTCATATTATTAGAATGTATATAAATAAAGATTTGCATACAGAGACTTCTGATAGCAGTTGATTCACACACGTGGTTGGAGTCCCATTACCACGAACCGCTGCATCAGTGTGTCGTGGACATGGCGAGCGTGTTGTTGCTCAGGCGTTGTTGAAGCTGTGACGGCCACCAGCTCCTGTCGGGTGCGTCTCGTGTTCCTGTCGTGGTTAGCAAACCTCGTCAGCAGTTGGAAGCATGAAGTGCGCTAGCATCTTCTGGTAGATGGCTGCGCCGATTTTGGATGACACCCCAAACCATCACAGAAACCTGACATTAGACTTCAGACCCCTGGATTCTGTGTCTCCGACTTCCTCCAGGACCTTCGTTTCCAAACAAAATGCAAAACTGACTTCAGTGAAAAGAGAAATTTGGCTCCTCGAGGATCAGCTCAGTCCAGGTCAACAGTCGTCCCCACGGTTGTGTTTGCATGTAGTCAACTAGACCAAAAGCTGCACGGTGTTTATGCTGTTCCAACAGTGAACGACTCAAACCTGAAATATTTCTAATAATTTGAGATACTGGAATTTTGGTTTTCATGAGCTATAAGGCGTAAAAATAAAACTTTCACGTTTTTGGTAATAAAAATCGAATATATCAAAGTTCCATCGGCTCAGCCTGGCAGCTGGATTCAGCATCTGTTCAGGGTCACCAGCAGAGCCCCTCAGGAGCTCCTGGGCAACGTCTAAGGCAGGGGTGTCAAACTCCAGGCCTCAAGGGCCGGAGTCCTGCAGGTTTTAGATCTCACCCTGGGTCAACACACCTGAATCACACGATTAGTTCATCATCAGGCATCTGGAGAACTTCAGGACATGTTGAGGACGTAATTTAGCCATTTAAATCAGCTGTCCTGTATCAAGGTTACGTCTAAAACCTGCCCTCGAGGCCTGGAGTTCGACACCTGTGGTCCAAGGGTTGGTTTAGCCTCCTGTAAACAGTCGGCTTGATGATTAACAGGAAATAGTTGACAGACCTCTCAGAATTCACACATGTGGAGCAACACTTACTTTTAATTCAGTGCCGTGGTGACACGATGCACGCTGCTGCGTTTGCTCCTCTGCAGATACATTTGGAATAAGTCGTGCAAGTCAAAGGACAGAATAAATAGAAGCAGCGAAATACTTCAAAATACGTTCCTGAGAAGAAGCAGGTCAGTGAGGAACTGGTGGAAGCAGCTGCCCAGGCTTTTGAAGCATCATCACAGCATCGCATGAGTCATCAGAGAAAACTGTGCTAACACACACACACACACACACAGTTTATAATTGTGTGTGAAATATTGAGATACCTTTGCATTCAAACGCCTTCATAGACGTGCACGTGTGTGTTTGCAGGGACTCGTGCACTCCTAGTGAAGTTTTGACGCCACAACATACGTCGAAAACATCACTGTTAAAAATCTTATTAGGTCCCCATTAACCACTTTTATACAATGAACAGAACCAGGCAGAGATTATGACTTAATACCATTTTTGAACTTTCCTCAGAAACAAATGTAACGAGAGAGAGGGCTCACGTTTGCATTTTCACCTGGTCTGCGTGTGAGCCAATCACAGGCATGTTTCACACACTGTGGGAGTTCCAGAGGTGGCTGTGGAGAGGGACACGCTCTGGTAAAGGACAAAGACGGTCGTGCTGGTTTATTTTCTCGTGCGCCCAGTCTGTCTGATCGATCGCGTGCTTTCTGAGCTGCTGCTGCAAACTGAATACAAACAGAACAGCAGGCTCGGCTTTATTGTTCCAACAGTCCTGTTTGTACTTGCCAGATAAGACTGAACCACGTAACAGCAGCCTCCTATCAGTGCATTCAAAACACGTTGGGAGCAGGAAAAGCTGATAGAAAGTTGAGATACTCTGTGCCTGTGCAGTTCAGACGTGCAAGTGGCTGACATCCATGTAAACAATGCAGTAAATGCGCACTCACGCGTGTTTAATCCGTGAAACTAATATCCGATTTGTTCTCTAACCAGCGTTGGCGTCTGTGCAGCTAAAAATAGCAGCCGAAGTCTCTGAATGAGATCGCTGCAGCTCAAAGTGTAAAGAGGGACTGAGCTGCAGGAATGTGTCCAGTCTGGCTGCTTTTCTTTATTACGTGCAGATTCTTTGAATGCTTCTCAGCTTATCAGAGTTTGGTGCTTTTTCTCACCTGCTGTTTGTGCGAATCTTCAGCTCTGATGATTTTACTGCAGTGGCTTTGCGTTGGCGTCCTTGGCTTAAAGCCTCGACATCCCAAAGGCTGGGCCGTGCATCAGTTAAACTTTAATTTAAATACTGCTATAAATCAATGTCCCACAGTGCACAGGCTGCAGTAACGATTAAATAATGACACGTGAAACAACCACAACACACAGAAATGCACCAGAGTTTCAACCAGTTCAGTTTCATTGTGTTTACTTTCGTTGTCACCCAGCAGTCAGGCTGAGTGAAAGGTCGCTCCTGTCAGAGTCAACACAGTCTTACAGTTTTCGTCTAAATAAAAAATAGTTGCAGATTCGGTGCTTTGTAGGCGCCGTGTGATTTTAGACATGGCTGCTACAGCTCGCGTAACCTGCTGAGGTTTTGAAGCGTTTCAGCTCCAACGATCGTTTTCTTTGTTTCCTGATATTTTGATGACTCGGGTTGGCGCTGAGGTCACCGAGGATGATTCAGACATCAGAGGGTTGACTTCTCAGCTGGTATATGTGGCTTGAAGCGCAGGGACAGCCTCAGGAAAATCAAATCTCAGTGCATCATCTGCGTCACTGGGATGTTAATCTGTCTTCTGATCAGCAGCGTGTTGCTCTAAACTGCACAGCTGTGGTAGAGTTCAGGTTTGAGGTGTTTTTGGTAATAAGACACAAAAAAGAGCAAATGATGTTACTGTTTGGTGACCCCTACCTGTCTGGCTGCAGCTTTCCATTACAGTTAACGGTCTCTCCTCTCTACATGACAGAAATATAAAAAGCATTACTGAGACGAGGCCTGATGTTTGTGTTGGAGCAGATCAAAGTCACCTTTGTTTATTTTGCTGGTTCCCAGTTTCCCGGTCAGCACTGATAACATCACTCATATCTTATCAGGTTCTGGAGCCGGTAAATTCATATTCAGAATATGAATATTTGGAATTTGCATGCTTAGATGAAATGCATTCATTTGCAGCGACTCGTTTGGGGCTCGGCTTAGTCTTGCCCAGAGTGCGAAGGCTGGTGTGGAGAGAATCGGAGCTAAACTCCTGTAAACCTCACAGCGAGCCTTTCAGATGTGATAGAACATGAATTACCAGTCCCGACTCTTCCTGGGAATCGTTATGTTGTCATTTGTTGTTCTTGTTGTGAACCCAAATATTTCTCTGCTGCCAACGAAGGATAGAGCGGATAAAACATCTGCTTATGCTTCTCGGTTTATATTTCAGTTGATGAAGCATGACATGAGCTTTATTACCCGCAGCCTAACGTAGGCTGAGAGCTCCTTAACGCGATTTGGAGCTTTGATGTTGCCATGACTGTAGCGCCAACAACGCTCGGCACAAGCAGCTGCAGACATGTAGATTTTCATCAGCTTCACAGAGTTAAAAGCACATTAGTAGCTCTGTTCTTCCTCCACCTGTCCTCACCATGGTCATATCTGTCTGTCGCTGGCTTTTGAGCCAAAGTTTATTTTGAAGACCGTCTCTCACTGCAGGCATGAGTGGAAGCAGGTTAGCATGGCTGTTGTGCATGTCGCACGGCTTTTACAATAAAGTTTGCAAGCACTCGTCAACCCTGCACTGAATTGTTCCAGTGTTTGGAAAATGTTGAGTCCTTTCTGCTCTGAGCACAATTTATGATGCAAAGTTAAACGTTTCTACCAGTAACTGTACACAGACGTGGACCTGCGATCTTTAAACGCTTGCAATCAAAGACATGTGTTGGGACGAGTGCCAGGCTTTGCGTAGATCCCTACTCGGACCACCAAAGCAGCTGCTAATGATCAGGGTATGGATTCAGGCCGTGTGGCTGAGCGACCTGTAGTGTCCAGATCCGTTTGGTACCCAGAAGACTTGGCTGCTGCCATCTGGGGGCGTCTTTGCAATGACGAGGGTGCGCTTGGTCAGCATAATCAACGTTAGCCGCTCCACCTGCGAGTGGTGTTAGTGCTGTGTGTGTGTTGCTTGGCGGGAGCTCTCGAACATGTCTCGTCACCTCCCGCACAATTACAAACACTGTGTCCTCGTTGCCGTAAACAAACCTGTTTTCGCAGCAGCTCTGGAGACGAGCTCGTCCTTTTGTTCACCTACCTGATTGCACTCGACTCTGTCGAGAGTCCAGCTCTGCTGCCAGCTGTTAACAGTCTGATAGAGTTTTCATCCACGGCTCATTTCTTCCTGGAAATGCAGACCAGAGCTTCACAACAGCAAGATAACATAAAGTCGGCTCATAGTGGCACGCAAATATCCGCAGACGTGATTCCTGAGAAGTCAGTTAATGCAAACGATCCAGGAAACACAGTGAAAGTTTTCATTTCTCTTTTCAAGCAGTTTATTCTTATCAGTATTATTTTCTCTTATTTGTGTCCAGAACTTCAAATTGCTCCAGATCAATAATCCATAATAGTTCAACTGTAGTTGATCATAAATATTGATTCAGGCTTTTTGGTACTGATAGTATTCAATCATATACACGCTGAATATTCAAATGTCATAAATATCACTAATTAAACTGTGATGTAACCTCATCATATACTTAAAGCACTGTGCAAAAGTCTTGAGTCAGTCACGTCTTTATCGTTTGCTTACACAGAACCTGAGTGTACAGATTTTTACACACTGGCCACGTTTTCACTCGTGTTCTGTCCTGGGCCCTGTTTCAGGAAGCCGGTTTAGTGCAAACTCTGAGTAAGTA